ACCCTGTGGTCGTATGTATTTGTTCGTTCACCATCGTGCAATATATAGGTTGATGCTAATTGGATGGTGCAGGCTTCTAGGTTGACTGAGATACTTATAAGAGGAATTCTGGTGTAGCAGTGCGACTGGGTCGGAATCCTTTCCGTTATGACCAGGATAAGCAGCCGTAACCTTAGGCCCGCAACGGTGTATGCCTCGGAGTCTGATACGGCGAGTAGCAAATCGGCAGATATATATTCCTAAGTCTACGGCACGTCTTTCGCCCCTGTGAAGTTTGGACCTCAACACTGGCAAGTACGCCATTGTTGTCATTGGCATGTTCGCTAAGGCAGCGGGGGTCGATGATCTGCTGGAGACTGTTGATATGCTCAAGACGGCAAAGAGTCAGCACGAGCGTATCGCAAGAGACCTTCTACCGCACGATAGATGACCCCGTGGGTAGAGTTCCTTACAGCAGAAAAGTGCCGTGCCATAACATCTTTCCTCGGGAGTGAGGGCATATTCACAGTCATAACTGGTGCCTTTCATCCATGGGAGTTTAGGTGCGTCCGCGGGACGGCGCTCTCTTTGGGCGAGACACCTCTCACCAGTACCGAACTCCTTCACGCGTTGCGCCTCTAAGTTGCACCAGCCTATCGTTCCCATGCAGTCTTCCGTCAGCGCCAGGCATACACTTCCCTTCTTCCGGGGTAACCTCCCCTCCGTGTGCGGTACCTGTCCATTTACTGTCAACAGACTGTCCGGAGCATCAGCCTAATTCTAGGAAAGACGAACCTGAGGGCCCGGGAGAGCCAGGACCCCTTAGACCTGTTTGTGAATAATTCACATACAATAAGTAGCGCGGGTTACAGCCTTTAGCCCTGGATTTGCCGTTAAGTCTTTGCTAGATTGGTACAGCCTACCGGGGGACGAAGAAACGTAGGCCAATAGTTCCTTGTATCCGATTTGAATCTGATATAATTGCCAGCTTTCATCTATAGGGTTCATCCCCATGTAGCATTTGTGGAGTCAGCGTCTGCCCTAGATTTACACTCAGGCAAACCACTCAGCCTTTTCGATCTCTTCTTTAGTTAAACACCATTTTTTTGTAGCTTCTCGTCAAGAGCCAAAGCATATACATCCTTCGGCCACCACTCCCCCCAGCTCGTCAAAAAGATCTGCTCTGGATCAGACGGGAGATCGGTCGCAGCAAATGCGCGAAGAAGGTTCTGGGCCCCTGTGGAACAGTCCCTGTTATGTCGATTTTCTCCCAATTAAGACGATGCGGATGAACTTACCCTCGGGAATGGTTTTCGCATCGGGCATATCCATCGACAAACCCAGATCAGTGGCCAAATTTGTGCTGGGAATCAGGCCCGGTGAGACGGCAATGACCGTGCACGAGAGAAGCTCGCGGCGCCAGTTCAATGCGCCGAGTAGCTGTACGAACTTCGACGCACTGTATACGGTCCTCACCCCTGCTTTAGAATTTGCCTTAAGGTCTACGTCGAGCGTTTCTAATAGGGGCTGAGTTAGTGGACGTGATATGGATAGTATTCCTGGAATGCGTAGGAAAAGTGAGTTTACCTGGATTCTGGTCTCTCACTCTGCGGATGGCACCCGAAGAAACAACGACAACTCGCGATTGAGACGTAGAGAGAGTGTCATGCAGTAAATGAATCAAATAATGCTGGGCTGTTTGACATTTTGGTTAGTCACCTCGGTTTGATACCCTTCGAGTTCACCTCCCACATACCTAAATGGTTGACAACGCACCCCGAGCACCATGGCGAGCCATTGGGTCCAGGTCCATCGGCGCTATCTAGCATGCCAGCACAAAGGAACAGATAATCGAGCGTCTGAGCCCCCAACTGAGAAAGGACGTTTCCTGCAAATGACTGCACACTTGCCAGGGATAGAAGATCCAGCGAGAAAACGGTAATCGTGTGCTTGCTCTTGTCAAAGTCAAGACAATCATACTTGGCCTGAGTCTTGGTTGCGTCCCGCACTCCCAGAATGAAATGGTATGGCTCCGACTGCTGGAGCAGCTGTTTGATGGCTTCAAAGCCCTGTGTTATGTTAACACGAATGGCCATTGAGGGGTAGAACAGTGAACGATTACCAAACCGGAGGATGTGCCTGTTGCAACCACTGTTTTGACCATGGTTGCAATGAGAATCCGTTCGATCTGTTGGTGCGCAGTGGGTGAGAGTGCGAGGGTGCGTCTTGATATCAACCTGCACGGTCCATTTTTCTTGACTATTAAATATTCAATTGAATTACCCCTCGCTAGGGACGATCATGTGACGTCATGAGACTCGTCAACACTTCATTTCTTGAAGAAAACACAACATCCGACTGCCTATCACTTGATAGCGACCCTTCCGCGGTGAAATAAACGCGGAGGAATGCTTTCGACTTACATAGTGAGTCGTGCATGGACATAATAGGGGTATGGGGAGCTTGGAGACAATGGGCTCTTATATTCTTCTTCCTCTACGGTAACTCGATTTCAATTACTATTGAGGCATGCATCTATCAACGTGGACAATGAAGGATAATCTGGAATCTCCGATTTAAATCCTACTAGCACAATCCCTATCAGGGTCATCGTATATTTTGAAATGTAGGTTGATTGTATGGCTAAATCCAACGCCGATCCTTGCAGTGGAACCGGTAGATGAGGTGAAGCCGCCAAAAACGAAGGTTGCCCTCAATGGACAACCCTTCAACTGGAAAGCTCAGCCGGCCTTCGAGGGACAGCAGATACCTCAAACACTGGTGTTGGCTTTGTAGTATCAATGTGTGGTAACGCCTGTCCATCATGCTGGGTGGACTGGTACCGCGCCTGTTAGATACCTACTTGTCTCACAATATCCAAGGCACTCTGATACCTCTGGATTCTGGAGAGCAGGTCGTTTCGAATTGTCGAGGCGGCAAAGTTTTCTTCGGCAACATCTGCTAGCTCCCTATCAGTCATTCCGCCAGCAAGATCAGGAGAAAGGAAGCGAATGGCTGCATCTTAGCCTAGTAAGCATCGTTCGGTCACCTGAAGAATGACGGTATCACAAAATCGTTTCAATGCCAACTTGTAGTATGCTTTCAGAATATCGTGTATGTCATTGATGGGTTGTTCTTCGTTGCTCAGGTGAATTCCACGTAACACATGCGTCACGTTCATTGGGACACCTTCTAGGTCTAGGTTACTGAGCCTTGCCATAACGCGTTCTTGCCGTGTTTCGGCAAGTGTATCTGCAAAGTAGTGGTTCACGGTCTGCAAGATTCCGCCTCGCTCGTCACTGAGAATGGTGGACAGTATCTTCATGGCACGGGTAGAGGTCGTCGTCTGCCTTCGGACGATCTGTGACATCAGGCTGGCTCTTACCTCATCGTCCCCAACGATCCTCTCGAGGCTCATCCGAATGAAGTCCGAGATTTTTGAAGAAGCCTTCTCAACATAGTCTTGGGCGATATTTTCCCAGGGAGATGATTGCTGCCGGAACATATTCTCGAGACCAGCAGGGTTTACTGTCCCGGGAAGTTCGGCACCACGCGAGTCACGGTGTAGAGTTCGGATCCAGTCATAAATATTTTGCTGATCATCAGTGCTCCGGTGGAAACTAACGTCAAAAGTCTCCTGAGACTGTTTGGAAAATTTTTAAATGCCCGTAATGTGCCATGTCTTTCGCAAAGAGTTCGCTGAGATTATGAATGTGCATGCGTAGCTTCAGCGGACTATTGCTATCCAAAGTGGGATCGTAATTGCCACTGAGCGCGTTGGCCACGTGCCCTTCGTATAATGTTCCAATCTGAGTCAAGTATCGTCTCTGATCAACAGTCGTCTGGCGAGAAGGACCGAGTAGCTCCGACTCTTTCTGTGTCTCTTGCGAGAGATCTTCAATCTCCTTTACCATCCCTGGGAATTTCCTTTGATGTGACTATACAAAAGTCCTCCAAGGAAGAGTTTGAGACATTTAATGCCCACTCGGTCCTTGCTCGGTTTCGTCCAAGGATGTTCCGTGGAAAAGAAATGGCTCTCTTTATGGAGTCTATCCGCAGATTCACTTTCCGGGCTGCAAAGCAAAACACCACACCAAAGTGAGATGGTGGTGAGAACCAAAGCTGGGAGGCTTGCCCGATAGAAAACGCACCGATTCCTCATGTTTGACTGATTTTCATGGAACCTTCTAGCTAAACATAGTAAAGCAGCGGGTTAAGTTAGAAAATCGAGAGAGAATAAATATGGAACCGTTGAAGTTGGGATAGGGTTCAAATTATATGTAACTTGCAATCTGAATATACTTAAGAAATCACAGCAAATAACTTAAACCCCCAAAGCCTCGTTTGATATATAGTGACTCCCTCCCGCACACCGATACCCGTGTTGCTGTTTGATCCACTGAAATCCAGCAACACAAACACCCATATGACGAAGCTTCCGTTGAATTTGTTGTTCCTTCTTCCTGGCCTTTTCTTCTGCCTCACGCTTCTTGCGAAGATCTTCCAACTTAGCCCGTCTGGCTAGCTCTTCTAGCCGGCGCTGTTCGCGCTGTTTCTTTGCTTCCGTGTCGACTTCGGAGTCAGAAGATTTGACAGGTGAAGGATGAGGGAGGTCGTTCACTGCCTTTTCCGCAGTGCGTTCGTCATCGAGCAGCTCTTTATATCGATCTTCTGCTGCTTTTGCGGCCTGTCTGTCTTGCTCTAGTTGCTCCCATACTTCATCCGATACCCCATCGTCCCTGGTGATAGAGTCCGAAGGGGCCTCGAGTGCTGAGGGTGCTGGAGGCGAACGTTCATCGTTTTCGGCCGAGTCTTCAGAGGCTGCAGGCGGGTTAAATGTTGTGGTCAGCACTGGCGTAACGGGCTGCCGACCGAGAGCCTGGGATTGAAGTAAATCGAGCGTAGGATTCCTTGCCACGGATTGATTTGTTGCGCGCTTGATGCGCTCGGACATCATGTCGTCAATCTTACTAATGACAAGATCCTCGCAGATGGCGATCTTCTTATCTCGCATCGACTTGATTGCAACTCCAAAGATTGATTTCGAGATTGTTTGGATATCACGCGCATTGGCCCAGTTCGCGGTCTGAGTAAGTCTGGTAAAACGACTCCGCAATTTCTTCGTAAACTCGGGCCGCGGAGACTCCAATGCGTCCAGGTCAAACCTGTTTATTTTCAACCTAAAATCAGACTTCTGTTTCTGAAGTAGCTTCGTGAGAAGTTTGATGCAAGCATCGGGTGTAATACTGGCGAACTCAAGCTCTTCCGGGAACCGACTAGTCAAGCCTGGGTTGATGTTTATGAGACGATTGATGTCCTGGTCGTATCCTGCTAAAATGATAATAAGTTTCTGGAAGAAGTTGGGTTTTGTAATGCAGTCGACAATTTCATCCATTGCCTCCTTTGCGAATTGTCCTTCCGCGAGTCTATATGCCTCGTCAATAAGGAGAACCTTCCCAAGGGATTTCTCTAGCAGCTCCTGTGTCTTAGGACCGGTATGCCCGACATATTGCCCCACCAAATCGGTTGCTGAGCTTTCGATGACCTCCGCGGATGATAGCAAACCCAAATCGTAGTACACCTGGCCCATCTTCCTGGCTGTACTTGTTTTACCTGTTCCTGGAGGCCCCCGGAAAAGGAAGTTGAACGGCAGGTGTTGCCTTGGGTCAATCTCAAGCTCTCTGAGGTTTTTAACGGTCAGGCGGTAGTCCTCAAGCTTATTAATTATGGCTTCGCAGCCAATGGTGTCTTGGAAGAGCATCCGGACATTTATCTCTTCTCGTTCTCCTCGATCATATTCTGGATCCAAGTCTTGAGGCTCCAAGTAGTCGATAGCAGGGTTCCCGACCTTGGCAGACCGTCGCTGTTGCTGTCGGACCTTAGCGCCATTCAATAGAATGTCAATTTCTCCTGCATTGCCAAAGTGCGGACGGTTGCGAGCACGAGCGAGAATTTCTATCGCTACCTTTGCACCCTTGTCGGACGTGATAAACCCCTGATCTTTTAACTTAAGATCAAGGATTTGCCGCAGTTCTATATCAGAGAAGTCCTCAAAAACAAAAGCATCATCGAGAGCAAATCGCCTGGATAACCCTGGATTGACATTTTGGAACATCTCCTTCATTTGCTCCTGATAACCCAATAATAGAACACAGCGATCATCACCTGGGACGCTCTGCACCTCTGCGACTATTGTATCAACCACAGCTGTCTTAAATTGGTTGGTGTTCGAGCCGCTTCTGTCGCGAGTTCCACCCCCGAAAAGACCATAGGCTTCATCGATAACGAGAACCTTCCCTAGTGTGGATGCCAGGATACCTTTCGTATTTTGCTCAGATCCGCCGATGACACTCCCTATGAAGTCCGCTGGGTTCTTGACTATCACTAAAACCATTCACGCTGTTAGACATCTTCTCTACGTAGGAATGGAGATACTATATTGCTCACCTTCACCGTTCGACAAGTATCCAAGGTCAACAAGAATCTGCCCATAAAGTTTGGCCACCGTCGTCTTACCTGTTCCGGGTGATCCAAGGAACACACGGTTAAGTGTGAATTCGACTAAAGGCTTCTCATTTAGCTCGCGCTCGTAATTACTTTGTATACTGTCCAATAAAGCGTGTACGGTATTCTTGACAGACGCCAGACCAATCATATTCTGCAGCTTTTTCCAAGCAGAACAATGCTGTAATGCTTGATTGGGCTCTGGACCGAGAAGGTCTTTCTTTGTGAGCAGGAAATCATCGATGGGCGGTTGATTTGGGGCATGGTTCCTTCTTTCACAGGCTAATCGTGCTGCCTGACGCGCTGTGATGCGAGCGAGGACATTTTCCACAGTACGCGCATTCCCAAAGCCTTCATGGCCACGTTGTCTGCCAATCCGACGAGCAACGATCCGACAATATAAGCCGTTCATACCGCCCTCAACCTTCATGTTCCTTCTGAACTTCTTATTGATCTGATACTCAAGAATCCGAAGAAGTTCCTGCTCAGTGTAGTCCTCAAAGATAAATTCATGCGGGAACCGACTAGGAAGACCGGGATTATGAGCAAAAAACTTCTCCATCTGCCGTCGATATCCCGCAAGAACCACGACCACCTTTCCTGTGAGATTCTCGACTTCGGCAAGCAGGTAGTCAAGGACTTGTGAGCCAGGACCATTATTTTGAGCCAACTGATAAGCCTCATCAATAAAAAGCACGCCACCACCATTGTTTAGTATCTTGCTTAGTTGCTTTTCGCAGTCAGACACGCCACCATTGGCGAGTCGCGATCCTGTGGTCTCAGTGATAAAGCTACCAGGGATGATACCCATAGCCGTGAGGAATTTCGCGTAGATACGTGCAACGGTAGTTTTACCCGTTCCTGGGTTTCCGAGGAGGACTGAGCCAAATCGGTCGGCTTTGAAATCAATGTTCTGCCTGAACGCTGCATCGACTTGGGATTTGATATTGAGAAACTTGGCTTTGATGCTCTCTAGCCCGATCATCCCCATTAGCTGGTCTAACTCCTTGCTTTGTGCGCCTTCGTACTGCTTTTGGTATAGCCAGTCTTGCTCAGAGGAAGATAAAGCTTGAATCACGTCGGGGCCGATCGTGGTCCCTGACGCTGTCTGGCTGATATTCTTGCTCCGATCGGGCAGCGTTTGAGAGTTTTGGCCGGTCTGGTCTGAGTTGACAACGCCCGGCGAGGTTTCTCTTTTGCGTTCGGCGCCACGAGTTTTCAATCGTTCAAGATCGTCGAGGGTTTGTTGAAGTACGCGCTGCCGTTCTTTCTCATCCTGCTTTTCCTGCTGGAGTCGTCTCTCATGGGCAATCTCATCTTGAATTTCGGCTAGCTGATGCGCATATTCTTGCTGCTTGGCTTGTCGTTTTGCATCAAGTTCCATATCCCTCTGCCGTCGGCGCTCAACCTCCCTATCTTCATCAGCACAACGACAACAATGCCCCTTTTTTTCGAAGCATGGCGTTATTTGTTTATGATTGCGCGGACATATCCAATCTGTAGCCGTTTTACACTGCATCTTAGAGTGATCTGACAGCTGATGACACCTCTGGGGACAGTCGTGCATTCCGCAGCTTAGTTTTGTTCCACTGTCGCTGATTAGCCTCTGTCGATAAAGCGAGTATAAACAAAAACAGCAACGCACCACGGCTCTTCGCACCCTCCATCAGGACATTTTGCGTCAAAATCGTCAGGCGATTGGAGAACTGCTAGTCTCTTGGGATGTTGCTCACATTTCACCGGGAGGCCGTCGTACAGATGTCCGCTCGTTTGCAGCTGATCAACAAAAGGCCGCCAAACACATTCCCCTTTCTTACTACTAAGAAAAGTCTTTGGGTTTCCGACCATGATTAGGACATCTCGAGCGCGAGAGAGGAGCACGTTGAGCCGCTGTGGGGCCGCCATAAAGCCGATGTCTCCATTCTTGTTGCTTCTCGTTAGGCTCGCGATCACGATTTCACTCTCTTCACCTTGATAATTATCTGCGATTGGATTAGCACGTACTCATGGCTACCAAGGAACTCATCTTCTACCGATGGTGGACAATTTAATCGGTCGCTTGATATGCTGAGCGCTCGCTTGGGTCATCAACCCCGCACGGACGAGGTCATAGCAGTCCAGGTCATTGAGTATAGGGTCTGTTTCTTTACGCAATTCCTCACGGAGAAGATAAAGTTGACCCAGATAAGGAGTAAGTACCACCAACCGGTCTGTCCCGTACCCTTGCTGGCCGAGATATCGAACAATCCTGAGAACCAGTTGCACCTCGAACGGGTTTTGCTTGCTTGCTTTACCACCAATATCATTTCTGTCAGCCACCCCACCTAAACTGCCCTCCGGATAGCTATGGCTAATGAAGATGACCCGATCCTGGAGACCTCTCGGGGCGGGCCGGTTCATAGTCTTGTCACCGTCCAAGAGTTCAGGGTAAGTAAGATTGCGCACGAGCGAGGAGACTTCAGGCACCATGCGGTGCTGTTTTGCCAAGGTGGAATGAGGGAATCCCGACAACACCAATCGTTCAAAGAGTGACCGATTAAGATCGTATCCCGAACCCTTTTCTACAGACAGGTTATAATTGTTGATCTTTGGTCGCAGTTGCTGGTGGTCACCGATCATGATCAGCTGCTTAGTGTGGGATCCTAAGGCAGTGAGGACGTGCGACTCTAGAATCTCCCCGGCTTCTTCTAAGAGCACAATTCCAGGAGAGATAGCACCGAGGTCTCGAGCATGCATTGCGGCTCCAGTCGTGGTGCATCCGATGATCCGTTTACTCCGTAGGATCTCGCGTGTTGTTTCGCTCCATAACTCCCCGCGCCTTTCCTCACACCTGTCCAGTCTACTCATTAGACCTTGGACGTTGGCAACCTGCTCTTCAAGCAGAAGTTTGGTCCAAGAATCCACTTTTGCTTGGCGGGTGTTTTTGCTCGTTTGCCACACACTGTTGGCTTGCTGGCTGAGATGATTGGAAATGGCCGTGGGGTAGTTCTTCCCTTGCACCCAGTGACTGTATATGTATTGAGAGGTGACTTTCCTGCCTCCTTCACCAACGAGAGTCATTCCCTCGGGATCAACTGGAGGAGTGAATGCTTCATAAAAGTGCGGCTCCTCGAACTCAAGGTATTCGAGGATCGTGTCAGGATTAATTTTGAAATTGAAATAGGTACCAAAAGCACCGTTGAGGACTTCACGCAACTCCCTAGCTTTTTCCTTTATCTGATCAAGAATTCGCCAGGTAGCTTGGGTCCGCCTGTTGCTGGAATGCTGCTCAGAGAGCTTGAGCGGCATTATCCGCTGAGAGGATTTGGAGCCGAGTCGAACGATAGCCGATGATGTGATCCCAATGTCTAGCAGATCTTCCAAGAACTGGTCGAGGGCATGGTTCGTATAGCACATCACAAGCATGGCTTCCCTACTGTGGTCAAATAGTGCTTTCGCTATCAGAGCGCCGACGAACGACTTTCCAGTTCCTAACACGAAGGGTTAGCCAGTCGCAGTCGGTGAGGAAGATATAGTTACCTGGTGGGCCCTGAATCAAGCTAACTTTCTGCGAGAGCCCGGAGACGAATGCTTGCATCTGAGATGAATCGAGGTTGATGGGTTTCTCGGAGGTTAGCACGTCTTGCACTGTTCTCTCACCATGGTCGAGATCCTTGATAAGTCTTTCTTCAATGATGTTGGATTGGGAGATCTCGGTGTCGCGTTGGTAGTCTAACAGGTCCTCTGCAAGAGGAAGCTCCGCTTTCTCCTGGAGGCGTTTTAGAATAGGCTCATAGGCGAATACAGCAGTATTTACAAAGAGGAACATGAGGTCGTTGTAGAGTTTGAAATAAGATAGCGTCTTTCTCACAGCATCGTCTCCTATAATTCGCAAGACAATCCTTGGCTCGTCCTCGAGAAGGTAGTCGATTTGTCTGTCAACCGTGGCAAATGAGACAATCTCTTTACCCCGGAGAAGACAGCCAAATGACTGATGGCGTAGGTAACCGCGGTCGTTCTTTAGAAAAGCCTTTCGACCTTCCTTGTCCCGGGCTTTCAGAGCTTCCAGGCCTTGCAGACAGGTGATCACCAGGCCGCAAGGGGTCATCCGCTTTTCTATGCCATTGAATATCTCTTTTACAGACAGTCCCTTGAGTGTTGTGACTGTACGACGTCTCTTCTTCCTTCCTGTCACTGCCTGCAGCTCCTCGCGTATGTCCGAGAGCATGTCCTCTCGTAAAAGCCGGAATTGATTGTCGAGATGACCTGCGACCCGCTTTTCAATGGGCAGTTGCAGGATCTCGTCCGCACGCCGATAGAATGGTTTCTCGACCGAGCAAGACTCGTCATTAGTTGGATAAATTGCAATTTGGCGAAAGTCGACGTGGTCATTGTCATGCCGACCTCCTGGAACATAATCGGATTTTTCAATAAATGTGTTACTTGCCTTGAGTTCCAACACTTGCTTCAGCTTATGGCCATAGGCGCGGGTTTCAGGTGATGTCGATTTTAGAAGAGAGCCACTGCTGACCACGGTCTGGGCATCATCCACCATATCTGCCTCATCGGCAGACGCGTGAGTGAGACATTCGATCATGAGCCATGCAAAGGCTTGTACCGCCGGTTCTGTAAGGGTTTTTGCTTGGAAGGCCTTCATGAAAGCGTTCCACAAAGTTCGCGGCTCAATGATAACTTCGACAATATCTCGCAGATGCTGGCCATTACATAGTGTCTTGATAGAAGGATCAGAGAGGTATTGAAGAAATAAAGCTGTGTGTCTGTTCAAGAAGTCGGGTTTGGTGTTGAATCGGACACCTGCGTGGATGGCGTTTCGGGCAGCGGGGCTGGCGACGATGCGCTCAACACACGCTGCGTGGTTGTTTTTCTCGAAAATCGCTTCCAGTAGCAGCGTAAAGTTATCGACAGTCGCAACAGGCCGTTTACCACTAAGGACAAGGTCAAAAAATTTGGCGAGCCGATCAGTACGAGACGTCATCTTGATGACGATGACCTCTCAACTGGCTTGAGTTTGTGGATGGAGGGGCTTTTTCAATGACAAAAGAAACAATCAATGCATATAAATAGCAATTGAACCACAGGTGACACTGCCCATTTCTTCTTACTGAGCATCTCTTTTAACCAGAAACCACGGGATGCAACTTGATCCGCCCTGGTATTTACCACTACAATAGAGAGTAGGGTAGCAATGCTTTCTTGGGTTTCGTATAGCGGCTGTGATTCGCTAATGATGATAGACCTATGTTTGTTCTTCAGCCACGCCAACACATTGCAAAGCGGGGTATTTGTTTCTAAGAACAAATATCAAAGTGACCTATTGACCGCGTAGAAGCCACACGCCGGGAGGTTAGTAGTTGGGTGGGTGACCACCAGCGAATCTCTCCTGTTGTATGTTTTTTTATCAGGTTATTCTATGACTGGAGGTCGTGGTCGTGGTTCACTGTCGGATCATCAAGGTCTACTCTGCGCACAGTAATCCTACGAAAAACGTCCCCGAGGGCCTGGCAGAGAGTCAGAGACAAGACAAGCCGTGAAGGAGTCAATGCGGCTGTGGCCTTTATTTTATATAATTAGCAAACATAGCGCAGTACATTAGATCAGATTGAAACCTTTACAGTGTTGTGTATATATTGAACATTACCCTGGCAGATCGTAATGCGCCGCTTTGTAGGGTTTCTTCCTCAATCAACGTTTCCGCAGGGTAGAGCGTTGTCAAAACCGAAATTTGGGAATTTATACCACCACCACCAATGGTCCACTTGATTTACACCGGGTCTGAGAGCTTTTGCCAGTCCTTAAGGGATTGGTAAGTGTGAATCTTGGCGGTTTGGTAATATAATCTCTGCGAAGGGTTTACCGTTTTGTAATATATATGCCGGGGTTTGCGACGCCATGAAGCACTAGTGCCTTAGACTAGAACTGAAGAACTTCTTATTGACTTACAGTCGCATGGACAATCCTCTTGGATTGCATGGAGAGGCCGAACATGCAATTTGTCTAACAGAGAAAGCAATAGCTTTGAATCAATCCGCATTTATAGCCCCCCTAAGGGCAAAGAGGATTCCGCTAGTCCGTTCATTTAGCTCTTCATTTATAGGAATGCACCAATTATAAGATCGCGTCATTGTCGGAAACCCTCAGAAAGTTTGAAAACCGGGTTTCTCGCTTCAGAAGCTTCTGGGGATGGTCGTTCTCAACGATCCGGCCCCCTTCCATGACAAGAACACGGTCAAAATCCAAAATAGTAGAAGGCCGATGGGTAACCGCTAGAATGGTGTGCCTGGAAAAATGTGAACGAATCAATGTCTGCATTAGCTGCTCGGTGCTTTCATCGACACTTGAACCCAGGGTGGATTAGTCTTTGTACTTAATAATGTAGGCATCACGGTGGCTTACCTGCTTGTTGCTTCATCCAGCACCAAGACATTTCCATGTCGGACAAGAGCTCGCGCAAGGCAGGCCAGCTGTCTCTGTCCGTGAGAAAAGGTGCTCTCATGCACGACCGTGTCTAAACCGTCCTTCCCTTCGACAATGTCCCAAAGATGCACCGCTTTCAGAGCAGAGACGATGGTTTCATCGGAGGTGGAAGTGAAAAAGTCAACATTTTCACGAATAGTCCATCCATTAAGTAGAAACGAATCCTGGGGTAGCCCGTTCAGAGATGCTCTCAGTCTTTGTCGGGAAATTGTTGTGATGTCCAGTCCATCCAGTAGGATTTGGCCGCCCGACAAATCAATCATATGGAACAGTGCTGCGACAAGTGTACTTTTACCACTATGAAAGGTCATTATTCGGTATCAAGTTGGCATCCATCTGTCAGAAACGGTAGTGCTTACCTACCTGTCCGACCGCAAATGGCGATCTTCTCTCCTGGTCGAGCAGTAAACGAGACCTGCTGGAGAACATGGTTGGAGGACCCCCTGGAGCAGATGAAGTCACCATCAGTATGTGAACGATTTCATAAAACTTCTCAGCAGAACTTACCCATAGGATGCAGTGACCTCTCTGAATTCAATATTTCCTTGGGCTGGCCAGATAGCGGGCGGTATTTTACGCTCGCCAGGTAGATCTTCAGACTCCAGGTTCTGCTCGAAGTCCTTCACCCGTGCAACAGCTCCAAGGGACGTCTCGAGATTCATCCAGAACTTGATCAGCGTTTTCATCCAAATGCCGATGTTGATGGTGCTTGTCAGTGCCAATCCCATATCGCCGGCCGAGACATTCCCTAGCTTGGCAACACCAATTCCCATGAGGACGACGGCGAACCCGGTCATGACAAAGTCCAATACCAACCCAAGCCAAACCTGTGCCACCATAAGCAAATAGAATGGCCTTTGTGATACCTCCAGATTTGTGTTGGCGAGGTTTCTGTACTGATTCTGCCAGCCAAAAGCTCGGATTGTCACCAGACCACCTACCGTATCCATGGCGTGTCTCAAAATTGGTGCCTTTGCTTCGAGGTCTAGAATTCGAAGCTGTCGGGAAGTTCTCAAGTAGAATATCTCCACGGCCCCAATGATAAATATCGAGATAGGAATGACAGCTGCCATGTAGTGGACATTGACAATGACCACCGCGATCGCCCCGACACATTCCATCGATGCTGTGTGAGTGGGAAACCGAATCAATCAGAATAGTTCGTGGTAGGTTGAGAGAGGAGGTATAATTACTGGCAATGGTGATAAAGACCACCAGAGGCAATTCAAAGTCTATCAGCTCTAGATCGCTTTTGAAACTGTGCTTTCTTGTCAGCTGTATATCCTGATGACGACGAGTTGGCGGCATGAGAGTACCGGTTCATTATAGTTCCTGAATCGGTTCTCGAAAAGAAGGACATTGGGGCCCTAGACAATTCTTTAACTAAGTCCATCTTGAAATATGATGAAAGGCCTCCCGTACCGAATTACGGCTACGAGAAGTCTTTGATGCAGCGTTATCATCGTTTTTGCCGTGACTCCGTGAATCATGATCCTATATCAACAGCTTTAGCTCAAAACGAACAACAAAAAGGATAATACAATAGGGCCATACCACTGAGAGATCCAAAACATAGTAGCGTATATTGCACAAAGAGAGCAATCGACAGCAACTCGCATCTTGAGATTGCGGTTGGGTTCAATATCATTGTCATGTGCCCACCACTTTATCCACGTAGCTATCATGAAGAGATTGAAGTCAACACAGTCCACATCTAACACCATTAGATACTTGCTTACACATGAATATTTTGGTAGATACCCCAACTGCGAGGGCAACAAGAAACACTACCCATCTGTGCCACGGAGCTGCAGAGAAATAGTACTTGTAAGTTGCAAAATCTCCGGAATGACGAGCGTCATCGCCCAAACTGTCGTCTACAGGAGTGTTTGTGGCTGGGTTCATCGAACAGGTTGACTCAGCATTCAAATTGGTTATCGTGATATGGCGACCAGCTTTTGTTTTGAAACCCGGGGCAACGTCCATGGAATACTTCTTGCCTGGATTATGACCTACCCCGGTATTTGAGTTAGTGTCTTGAGCAATGATAAAGCCATCTGACCCCATAGTGATGACATGGTCAGCGTGTTGTATGCGTTGGGCTAGGACATTTATCAGCACTTTGATTGTGGCACGGACACTGTCGCTCTTACTGAGCTTGTCGCCATGACTACTGTAGTCCCTAATTTTCTTAGCAAGCCGCACGGGCTTAGAAGCCGTTCGAATATATGATCCTCTGTAGCGGCATCTGATCCAGTTAGTACATCGTCGAGAATCACCAAGCTATGCCCAGAGTAAACAGCGCGTGCAAGAGCCTGTTCGTGTTAGCGATGAGATGAGTGTAGTCTATGTGAGCACTCACCAAACGCTGCTTTTGCCCTCCGCTGAGAGATAATCCCTTGGATCCAACGATGGTATCATCTCCATTGACCAATTGCGCGATATCCACCTGCAGGCAGCAAGCTTCAATTACCATTCGATACCAGTCATCCCAGTAGGCACTTGAGCCGAGGACGTTTTCCCGTACCGTTCCATTCACGAGCCATGGAGTTTGACTACAGTACGCAATATTTGCGGTGTTGACGATTATGGATCCTTTGTTGTGCGTTGTTTCCCCAAGAATTGCCCTGAGAAGAGTGGATTTTCCACAACCAACGGGCCCAATCAGCATCGTCAATGAATTGCGTGGGATGATGAAGGAGGCTTTTCGGATAATTGGCCCTTCCCACCCCGCGGACAAGTCATGAGCAATTATGCAGGGCATTCCGGCCAGCAGCGGCTGCGATTTGATGATGCGGTGATCGCGGTGTTCATCCTCGCACAGAAGCTCTTGAATATGATCAATGCAGCCGACTGCCGAGGAAACATTTGAAATAGCTTGGAGTAAAGATAAGAGTGCTTCACCGCAAAGCTCAAGCATGGCTAGACAAGTGAATGCGCGCGGGCTGTCGAGAGTCCCGATGGCTCCATGTTTCGACCGCGAAACAAGCATGTAGATAGCAAAGGAGACTGTTGGGGTAAGAATTGAATGTGTGTTTGCTGATATAACTGTCAGCCCAAACCCCAAATAAAGACCTGGAGGGTACATACCAAGCGTAAAGATGCTTGTCACAACTGAACGATAGTCCTTCGATATTGAAATTTCCTCAAGTCGAAGGCCAGTCATAATTGTATGAAGCCGGTCTGTAAGCCCAGACATCTTCACCCCCTTGGCTCCATTAATTAGCTCTGCTGTAACTGCGACACGTTTTTGGATTGCGTTGATCCAAAAGGTCTGCTTCTTGACAGCATATGGAGCCAGCAAAACCACACCGACAACGGCAACTGTATTGCGGTTAATACCCCGTGTTTTGATGGGGCAGAAAAGAAAAAGAAAAGAAAAAGAAAAAGAAAAACAACCAGCTTGAACTTACAAGCAGATAGAAGCATCGCGGCTATGCTGGTTTCATAGAGCTCTCTGTAAATCATCCAGAAAAAAAGGCCCAATTCGATGGGCGCGGCCCAGCACTCGTAATAGGTGTAGAGACCTAAAGCCATGCGCTCAATATCCGTGCCAATAGTAGTGAGTACCTTATCTTGACCATACGAGGCCGGTAAACGCATTGTCTTGTCGTATATCATCATGGTCAGGGAGCTGCGCATCATAGCTATTAGGCGAGCTGCTTTGTGCTTTGAAATGGCCAGGGAGATCTGAAGAAATTTTTCCGTCAGTGAGAGTCTACTCTAAAGTTTAGATTATCCTTACTCCCATGCCACCGTATACGAGTAAAAATGCCAGGATGAGAAGTACTCCACGATCGTGGGAATTCTTCCCATGGGGAAGGGCAAACAGAGTAACTGCTCGACGGATCAGATATGGCTGAGCGATCACGAAACCGCTATATGCCAGTCGAGGCCAAATACAGGAGATAATTTCGTTCTTAAAAGCTTTCATGATTAAGAAGGCTAATGCATGAGGCTTTTTTTTGTTGGCACCTAAATCAAAGAAAAAAAAGAAAACGTTACCATCGTGCCATAACATGAATAATTATTTGAGTACATACATTGGTTCCAAAACTTTAGTAGACTCTGTTCATCTGAGGAAAGGCTCAATTTTCCCACTCCTGGAAAAAGATCCTGGAGCCTGAGTTTGTTTCTCATCCCTAGGAGAAAGAGTGGGTTCAGCCAAAAGAGAAATGCGCGCCCCAATGGGCCCTCCATTTCCTCCGGGCTAGGGATGCTGGTTCCTGGATATCGAAGTCTCATTTTTGGCAACGATTCAACAATTACAAGAATGAATTTGACTGCGAGTGATATAAGAGCCATCACTGCGATATGGCGGAGGCCGTCGATTGACCAGAGGCTTCGCACATGAACAACTTCAAAAGGTATCATTACCGTCGGGTAGAGAACTAAAATTGCTGAGGGGCAAGGGGTTCGAGAGTGCTCGAGGTGAGAACCGTACATGCACATAATCGTAGCGAGGATGGACAGAACCACTGAGCTATAAGTGAGGCTTGTCCTGGGACTCACGGTGCATAATCCTAGGATGATGGCTTGGGTCGATAATTGTAGAGAATACAAGATCTAGACAGCCTGTCAAACAAGCCTGTGGCAGCCAATGATGAAAGTCCCGAAGACGACTTACTATTTTGCTCCAAAATAACAAACCTCGTGCAACCTTTGTCGGCTGGCTTTGCAGGTGCCAAATACGCCACGCCAACAGTGCGATGGCGAAAATGGCGGGCGCGATAACCATGAAGCTCTCCTCAAAGAGTAAAGTAAAATCAAGCCCATTGTAGCAATTCTCGTCTACAATAGGTCCAAATTTGTTATGTTCTGTTATCGAACACGTCGAGGTGTGAGCAGAGACCGTTCGCTGTCGAGCCATGGTGGCCTCCGTGAATTGGGCAGCACTACCCCATAGACTTTGTGAAAGTAGAGAAACTAGTATCGCCTGAGGTGTCGAGGTGCTTTGTTCATGACCTCCTGGTACTCCGTCATGACTTTTGCTGTTGACTGGGACAGGAGGAGTGTGGATCACAAATAGCCTGTCGCGTCCAATCGAGGGTGAAAAAGTCATGAAGGTAAGGAGAAGCCGGGAGGCAGGAACGGAGGGAAAAAAAAGAAGCGGCCACTAACATATTCAAAATGTGATTGATCGTCCTTTTGCATCGGCATTTGACGCGTGGTGGCGTTGGAATGCAGGGGGGAAGGGCATTTATCTGAAGGATCACAAACTATTGAGGGGGATTTAGGGTTGATGGCTAAATAACCATTGTCCCAAAGCGTTCTCACTGTTTCATCTCCCCCTTCTCCGTAACCATGCTTTATAGTTTTATCCCAGTCGAAAAAAAAAAAAATAAAAATAAAAATAAAAAATAAAAAACCCATAGAAGTGCTGGGTCTCTCATCATAGACAGACAGCATCCCAATACTGAGAGTATGCTGAATGAGAAGAATAACGATTGGCAAGCAAACTGCCCAGATAGTCCGGTGAGGGTGAACCGACAGGATTTAAAAGTACACTGTTCCAGGTCCACCATAAAATTTCGGCCACGGTGATAAAGGCTTGGATCAAAGTGGCAAGATCAGAGTGTTCATACAGCCCATTCAAAGTGTTACTGAAGTCGAGCGATTTCAAGTCTCGATGACGTCCGGTTGCATATAGAGCACTCGCCAAAGATTACGGCAGTTGTGGTCGCCTCCAGTGAAGTCACCAAGGAGAGTGTGAAGTTTGCGTACCTAATAAACGCAGTTGTATTTTGGAAAACAAAAATACAGGTATATCAGACACCTTGAACATGGTCATCAAATAGAGGTTGAGTAATTACAGAATGGCAAGAGACGGTGCCTGTGCACGTTAGTCAACCTGAACAGGAGGATATCTAGGATATTGAACATACTCCTGTCTCGAGGCGAACCATTTCGGCGAGCATGGCTGATGAGAACAAGGGCTATCTCAATGGTGCCACCCACGAAAGTTGCTCACGCCAATGGGACTTGATAGAGGTTCTGTAGGCTTGTTTTAAACCACCCCGAAGCAAATGGTACCAAGGTTGGTGCATGCTTGGTGGTGGACGCTATCTTGAAAATAAGGGAGATACACGAACTGGTAATCCCTCCCGTGATGGCAACTAAAGTGCCATATGAATTACGTCGAAAGATCCCAAAAAGGCCCCTCACCAGCTGGACCGTCGTTTCGATGTAAATAGCAGCGCAAAAAACCCACATTGCAATGGAAATCCCGGGTGAAGCCGTAAAAGAGTGTGTTTCGCAACTTCGGCCCCAGCGTCGATCCGATTTGGGAGAAAAGCTTCAGGAGCGACTGTTTCTACCTTCAGGCACAATGACCTAGGCGACCTGCAGAGGAAGATAAGAGCAACAACGACTGTGAAACCTCAATGGAAGAAAATCTTGGTTGTGGTGGAAGGGCTTTATTCCATGGAGGGATCCATGTGCAGCCTACGTGAGCTCGTGGCTTTAAAGCGGCGCTACAAGTTCTACCTCTTCGTGGACGAGGCACATTCAATCGGTGCTGTCGGTCCGAATGGAAAGGGGCCGTGCGACTATTTCGGCGTCGACCCAAGGGATGTCGATATTTTGATGGGCACTTTCACCAAATCGTTTGGTGCTAGTGGAGGGTATATTACAAACAGCCAGGATGTGATTACCAAACTCAGAACGACGAATCCAAGATACAATTACGGCAAGGCACCTGTACCAGCTGTGATGGCACAGAATATTGCTTCTATGAAAACCATCCTCGCCAATGGGGAGGGAATAGGTGGAGGAAACACCCGACTGAAGCAGCTGCTCTGGAACTCGCGCTATCTCCGTCAAGGTCTGAAACGAATTCGATATACTGCTTATGGTAATGAAGACTCACCGGTTGTGCCCACACTTCTCTTGAACCCGGTTAAAATGCTAGCATTTCGCGCGAGATGCTTCGGCGGAAGATTTCTGTCGTCGTCATCAGCTATCCTGCGACTCCGTTGGATTTGTCTCGAGTGCGCTTCAGCGCTTCAGTGATGTACACAAAGAAAGACCTGGACTACATACTATCTTCATGTGAAGGGCTTTGCAGTGTGCTTCAGTTGATACTGTCCCCTTGTTAGAT